GTTGAGTTGCTGGAACGCAGCATGTTGTTGTTGCTGCTGTTGCTGCTGCGACTGTTGCTGGCTCTGCTGTTGCTGCTGCTGCTGCTGCTGCTGCTGCTGTTGCTGCTGCTGCTGTTGTTGCTGCTGTTGCTGAAGATGCTGGAGCTGCTGCAAGTGCAGTGCCAGCTGTTGTTGCTGCATCTTGTTCTGTATGTGTTGCTGAAGCACCAGCTTCTCAGCGCGTACCGTCGCCGGCTGCGTTTGTCGAATCTGCTGCAGTTGCTGCTGCGACTTGTACAATTCGCGCTGCAACTCCTCTATCCGTTTCCTCTGTTCCTTGATGATATCATCTCCTGAAACACGAACTATGTCGTAAAAACACCCACATATGTGGTCTCTCTCTCTCTCTCTCTCTCTCTCTCTTCTCTCTCTTTCTCTCTCTCTCTCGAAGAAGAAGAAGAAGAAGAAGAAGCAATGATCTCGCTCGAAAGTCTCATCGTTTCTCGCGCATCAGCTCGCGCCGGGTTACAAGACCGCGTTCAACAAGACGAGATGGTTACCGAGATGATGAGTTTTACCTGGCGGACTCGACGGGTCGTCGTGTTCGCTGCTATGTGGCGAAGCCGTGCGCGGGCTGTTCGGCTCGTCTTTCACGGTAGAGCTAGGACTCTTCGCCTGCAAACTGGACTCGTCCGTCGTCACCAAGCCGGGTGTGTCCATCAGGATGTGACCCATGTGCGTGACATGCGGCCCGTTGGAATTGGAATTCGCGTTGCCGCTGGACGACTCCGTGAAAGGCTTCAGTCGTTCGATCAGCTGTGGCTTCGAGCCCGACACCGGCAGGTTCCGTCGCTTCAGCTCCACCTTCAGGTCGCTCACTGCGAACCACCACGGTATTACTTCACCGTTGCTCTCCTCATCATTTCGCGACGTACATCAAGCGCGCGACATCCTAGCGTACCTTTCATGTCCTCTAGCTTGCCCAGGGGCCTCAGCGGGGGCTGCTCCGACGGATTGTTCGAGGAATTCGAGGGTGCCGGGCTGGCGTTCGCGCTGCTCCCGCTCACGCTACCGGCGTCACTCGCACCGCTGCTGCTGAGCGACAGTGGTTTTTGCGCCGCCGGCAAGATGATTTGCGGATACTGAGGAGGTGAAAAGGGCGAGAAAGGTTCCTTCAGTTTTGTGTTTTTCATGGTGGGGTATTTCGTCGCGAAACAAACACGTGATAAGGCAAAATCGGACGTAACGGGACATTACGAGGAAATTTGAACAACTAACGCTATACTGATTAATCTAATTAACACGTTGAGGCTGCCATGGAGGGTCATCGGCCACTATAACCTAATCTAATTCTAACGAATCTAACGAAATCTAACGAATTCAATGCGCGACCGGGACCGCTAAGGAAATTAACTGACGGACATGTGTATTAGAAAATCTGCATTTACCGTAACTTTTAAGTTTGGTTATCCAGGTTTTAGTCGAGCTTTGGAAGAATCTTATATAAAACAGCGCGGCAGTCAACGTGATATAATTCAGATGTTTTGAAACGATAAAAATATTAATAAAATCTAATAATACAGAAAAAAAATGAAAAGTAAAACCAGTATAGTCTTTCTACTGCAAAAGTAAGAGACCGTAAGAGAAGAAAAAGAGAAAAGAAAAGAAACGACAGAGCTACAAGATCCGCTGCAGAAACCCGACATCCCGTCGTAAAGCGCGCATGCACCATCGACAAGCTGGTGCTATATCTAGTGTCTATCCACAAGCGCTGTACTAGTACAAGTATACTACCTTGTGCTGCCATTCGAGTTGCCATTGCAGGAAGAGCTGCTGCTGCTGCAGCAGCAGCTCGTAACTGGTCTCGCCGGGCGGCGCGGTGCCGAGGCCGGAAGTGCTGGACGACACCGGCGTCTTCTGCGCGTTCGGCGGTCCCTGGCGAAAGAATCGTTACGTAAGCCGGTGGGTGCCGTGCGCGCGAGAAACGCACAAACGCGCGCGATTGATGGTTCCTACGCAGCCGCGCGCTCAACAACGGCGCTAAAAGCCGCGCGCGCGCCGCGTCTTTACGTAACCGCGTGCGATCGGCCGCGAACGGACGATTCGCGAATGCGTCTCCGGACATCACTGTTCGTCCGCGAAGGGGCGAAATCTCGCAAGTACATATATACGCACGCACGTAGGCAGGCAGGCAGGCAGGCAGGCAGGCAGGCAGGTAGGTGACGTAGCTCCGGTTTCGCGAGCCGCGCGAGTGATAAATGATACATCAAGATGTTTTCTGCGCCCTCATTTGCACGCCCATTCCCGGCTCGCTTTCACACCGGGCCACGCCACCATATCCCCGAGTATTTCGGGCCGTGCTCGGACGCTGCTCCGCGAGACCGACCCGGTCCCGGGCTCCTCGGCGAGATTCGACTTCGCTCCGCTTCACTCGACTCGGCTTGGCGTCTATCGGGGCCCGAGGGAGACCCCGCGGCTTGCTCTCTTCGCAGCCGCCGCTCCTTGGCTTCCTCGCTCTTAGGTGCAATTAGCGCTCGAATTACTCAGAGCTAACGAGGTGGGGCCCCGGGCCCCTCTCGGGAGATCGCGAGAGTTAATCACCCGATACGATCTCCCTCCGAGGCTCGGAGGACCCCGCTGCCGCCGCCGCCGCCGCCGCCGTCGCCGCCACCGTCGTGGTCAACGGGAGCCGAGATTCACGGTTCGTGCAGCGTACTCGTTTTTACCTCGCCTTCTTCTGCCTCCTCCTCCTCCTACCCCCTCTTCCTTCTCGGCTACCTCCTTCTCCTGCGCCTCGCTGCCGCTCTTCTGAACCTTTTTGCTCCTCTCCCGTGGCCACGGCCGAAATGCGGCCCTCCGTTAGCCCACACGGAGCCGGCGCTCCGATGCAGGAACTAGTTTGTAGTGCGACCCGGCGGTACCCGGGTATACGATAATTATCGCGCGCCTCTGTATACATTGCGCTCGTGTCTCGCGTCGAAAAATACTTTGCACCTCGCGCACCGTACTCCCCTGCTCCCCCTCCCCCTGCCATCTCCCTGTCCGTCCCTTGGACCGTCCTTGGCCTCTCGGCGATTGGTGACTTCGAGAGGGATCGCTCGCTCGCAAAAAATAAGTCGGTACTATCAGTCGAATCGGAGTAGTCGGCTTCGAGCTTGCTTCGAAAAGTTGCTGAGAGACCGAGAGGCCGCTTCGCCGTCGTTGCCGTAAGAGCTGCCTATTACCGATGTGAAATGTCTTCATCGCGAGGCAACGATTTATTGGCCGGATTAATGTCCCGAGGATACTCAGGATAGCGCGAATTAACACGAGTGAGCCAAGTATGTCAAATCGTCGCTATGCCGAGAGAGAAAAAGTATGCGACAAATAAGAGATATTCATCAGAGTACATTCGGTCGAAAGCGTAGCCTTTCGTGTATGAAACAGCTGTTTATTCAATTTCGACAAACAAATGTTTAATAAATAAGTTATGTCATCAATACTCACGAATAGATACTTCTTATCTCTTAGATGTTTTTTCTCTCAAAATAAATTGTCTTCATGTCATGCTAAAACGTCGCTCGTTCCTGGCGACGAGCATTTCGCGCCGTTTCGAAGAGGCATCTTAGCCGCGCCACGACTGCGCATCTCGCCACTTCGCTGCGAGTTGGCGGCTGATTTAAGGGAGATTTCGCTGCTCGGCTGATCGTATGCCGAGGAAACGCCAATTTTCGCGAGCGACGATGGAAATAGCGCATTATCGCCACGTGAGACATCGGTCGCGCTCAAGGACACGAACAGTGATGCCGGTCTATCTCGATGATGCTCAAGAACACTCGATAATTGAAAGCTTAGCCGCCCGGCGCGATAAAGTCGATTCTCCTCCCTGCGGACGAGAATGAACAGCATCATTCTGCGACTCGACGGATATACGAGAGAGGCGAGAGAGAAAGAAAGAAATAGAGAGAAAGGGGGACGGAGAAGGGGAAACGACGAAGAGCGCGCGCGCGCGTCTATTTCTTTCTCTCTCTCTCTCTCTCGCTCTCTCTCGCTCTCTCTCGCTCTCGCTTTCGCTCGAGCGCGTGCAAGTCACACAGAATGACACGCCTGTTCTGCCGCGGTCGCAGCGCGTTGCTGAAATGTTGACACAATAAATTGAAAGCGATCTTACTTTGTACTCGTGGAACTTGATCGTGCGGGTCTTGGGCTGGCTCTTGGTCTTCGACTTCTTTCTGTTCTTGTCCTTCCCGGGGGCGTCGCTCCTTTGGCACGTGGTGGCTGCGGCGGCGGCGGCGGCGGCGGCCGCGGCGGCTATCGGGCTCGGCTGGGGTCGCGGGGTGATCGCCGCCGGTGGCGGCGCCGGGGGCGAAGCTATCGAAATGTTGGACAGCGGGCTCAGGCTGGACGTCGTCGAGCCGAGGGACATCGGGCTCGGCGCCGGCGCCAATGGCAGGAGAGTCGTCGACGGACCATTCGTCTGGCTCGCCTATTAGAGGAAACAGAGAAGAGATCGCTTCATTTTTTCGCCTGTTCGCTTTTTGTTCCCTCGCTCCTCCGCGTCGACATTCTCGCTCGGGCTCGCCACGGGGTATCGATCGCCACGTCGCCGATGCAATTGCGTCGGTCTCGCGGAGACCTCCTCGATAAAAGTCTGGAATCGCGTCGCGAGTCGCGATTAATCTTCGTTGCGCTCGACCGATGGTCCCGTCGTTGCCACGGATAATTCGGAGATCTACTTGGAAAAACCGGTGTAATTTTCTCATTTACCCAAAGACCCGGCACAACGTCCCTCAATCGCCTCGATGACGCGATACTATTTCTCGTGAGTATTTACCGCAAATAGATTCTCCAGTGATGGCAAAAAGAGATTCGTGGGAAGTTCCTCGAAACGATCATTTATCCGGCAACACGCGAAACTCCAAGACTCACTTTTGCGAAAATCTTCCAGAAAATCTGCACTGTTTTTCGAGTGTCATTGATCTCTCATTTAAGAATTATATAATCTCTCTCTCTCTCTCTCAATTAAGAATTTACGTTGTCCGAAAAGTCGATTTTCGAGCGTTCGTAAGGTAAGCAGGAAGAGCTTCAGCAGTAAGAGGCACGAAAATCCAAAATTTATCGATGAAAATTTCTTCAAAGAATTTACAGAATTTACTTCCATCTCGACGATGTTTTTTTGGATATTAGTGCGTTAATTGAAAAACTTTTACATCTTCGCCTGAACAAGAATACTAAATTTCGTCGGCAGATTTACCTGCGTGGAAGTGAGCTGCTGCTGACTCTGCTGGGCTTGCTGCTGCTGGCCCTGCTGCTGCTGCGTGCCCACGACCGTGTTGCAAAGCTCGGCGAAGGTCTGTATCGTCGACTCCGTGGATGTCTGCTGGAAGACCGGAGACGTCGACGAGACCACGACGGCGCCGCCGGTCGTCGGTATGCTGAGGGAAACCGTAACGATGCCCGCGGACGCCGCCGCGGTTTCGAGAACATCCGATCGCGACTCCAGCTGAGGTGAAGGCGCACCCTCTGAGCTTTGGGAGTCATCCTCGAAGGTGATATAGTGGTCCGGGTGCTGGGGCTTCGTCACTTGCCCCTCGCAAGTGGCCTTGAAGGGAATGTGACCCTCTGGAGGAAGAATTTCATCGTAGAAGTGACATCATCAGATATCATCATTTTCATCGCGGTGAGAGAGATTCCGGGATTGTAAAATCTAAATTAGTAGGATCGATGACAAATTTTTCGTAATTAAGAATAATAATTAATTTTTAATTAGTTCTTAAGCTTCCAGTCACAAAGAGTTAAGAGACAATGAGAGTTATACATAGTTAGAGTATGTCTCATAATTACGTTTTAATTTGTGTGCCAGGAGAAAATATCCAAGAATCAAATATATATTTTTCATCATATTCACACACAAGTAACGGTTATATTTTTCGTTCAGATGTACATCGAGTTGAGATGGAATAATTTCACCCCCTTGATCAGGGGCGCAATAAATAAATATCTGCCCTACGGATGAGAGGGTTTATCAAAGAACAGGAGGGGAGGAGAAAGAGATTATCGACGATTACCTTTGACCGCCCTCTCGATGGGTTCTTCAGTATGAAGGATGTTCTTCTGAATGAGCTCGAGCGGGCCGGGTCGATGGCTGAGCTGATCGTTGAGTTGATCGGCCAGCCTGGCCTTCTTCAGCATCCGTTGCCGTTCGGCCAGGCTCGGATCCACATGCCCCACATCCTCGAGGATGTGTTGCCTAACCAGCTCGTCCCTGCCGGGTCGTTGCTGGATCTTCGCCTTCAGCAGATCGCCCGTTTTCGCTCGCTCCAGCTGCTTCCGTTGCTCGTGGAACGCCGGCGGCGTCTTCAGCGCTGCGTGTGCGAAGCAAAACATTCTTGACTCTCTGTCTCTCTTTCTCTTTCTCTCTTTCGTGTCATATCACGATAGCCCCGCTCTTTCCGGCGCGATTAATCTCACACAAGCGCGGGGACCCGCTGAGATATATTACACCGGGCGCGCCTCCGACGGTAAAAATGTGATTGCGAAGCCGCCGCCGCGCCGCGAGGACCGACGCGCGAAATCATCGCCAGTTATTCGTAATCGATAATCCCCGGCGCGTTAATTCCCGTTAATCGAGCGGCATTTCTCTCTCGCGCGGAAAAATCGGGGGCCGATCGGCCGAGTCTCAGCGACCGACGCGGCGCGCATACTGCGAGCATCAATTTCCGGGATGATGACCCTCAAAAGCGTCCGCACGGCGCCGTTTTCGTGTCAACGTGACACGTCCTCCCTGTCTGTCTGTGTCTCTCTCCCTCTCTCTCTTGCGCGCGCGCGCGCGCGCGTCCGTACACATTCCCCAGCACCATTAAGTCGCCGGATAAATGATCTCCGAAGCGCCGATCCCTAACCACTATTTCCGGACGCGGATGCTACGTCCGCGCGCGGTGCAGACGCGAGTCGCGTCATTACGCCGAATAAAAGGCATGTACCCACCACCTACGGCCCCGATGTGTCAACGGAAATGTGAAAATACACGAGGCGCCCTGGTATTTTAACCGCGTGCCGTAAGTTTCCATCCGCCGTCTCGTCGTGGACGAGAGAGACGAGCGCGCCCAACGGCTCTCCCCTCCCTCTCTCGTTCTCTCTCCCTTTGCGAGGAGCGCGCGAGCACACGGCGTTTCTTTTTCATTCTTTTCGACTCTCTTCCACTTCATTTTCCTCTTTTTCGGCGAAGCCTGCTTCGAGATTAATCGCCGGTATAATTCCCTTGCGCGTCGTTGCGACCGCGAGAGAGACGCGACGTTTCCTCGGATATTACTCTTCGGCTCGTTACGGAGGATTTACGACGCGTTCGCGAAGGTACGAGGGGCCACGTCGAAAAGTGAAGAACCGGGGAGGGGGGCAGAGAGAAGGGGGCTGCTTCTTTCCGATTTCTCTCGACTGCTCGGGCTGCCGAAGAACGAAGTCGAGGGCAACGAAGAGACGCGAAGAGTCTGCGAACGATATCTGCTGAGCGGAGGAAAAAGAGCGATTGAACGAACGAATTGGCGTCGTAAAAATCCGAAATTCTGTTTCCTCCGACCGAAAAGCCGTCTGGCTCGTTGATTGTCGCGCTCGCTTAAACGATCCTCCTCTTCTCCGCGAGACGTGATTTGCCGTCTCGCCGAAATTGTCTATTTTTTCGCGATATTTCCAGCCGCCCGGGCGTGGCTCCGCTATCGGGACGGGATGCGTCGTTTTCGTTTCCTCGTTGCGAAATCACCGTCAGTCCGTTGCCTTTCGAGATGACAGCGGCGCGACGACGTGCACCAGCGAGACGTCCGACGACGTCCTTGCGACGCCTATTCTAATCTCAGACGAACTGTCTGAGGGACGTCGTTAATTTGCCGCAATAAACGTCGTCTCTTCCGCGGTTGGAGTAAGCTCAAGATTCGCGAAATAAAATAAGAGGCCCCAGCGCGACTTCCCAGAGCACGACGATCGACACCTTCCTCGGGGAAAAACGCCGCCGGTCTATTTGCATTTTGCCCCGTTGTTGTATCCGCCTTGTATGTACGGCCGATGCACAAGCGCTACGTGATGTACGGTACGACCTGGCACGCACCTCGCCGCGCGGCCGCCGAAGGCGAAACTACAAATTTCGCGGCTATTCCGTACACTCGGCGCGTTATTGTGTAATTCCATTCAATTGCTTATCCATAACGTTCCACGAGCGATCTGCCTGTGCATCTTCATTCTCGAACGCATCGTCGAGTCTCCAGCAGATCGTGCAACGATCGTGCGATATAATTCAAAGTAATAACGCGCGTATCGCAGTCTTTTTCTGCAGCAATCTGTCGTATCGGTGTATAAAATATATTAATCGCAAGAATCTCATGTACGGCGAGAGATTTCGTAATTTTTTCGTATGAGAGAGAGAGAGAGAGAGAGAGATTAAGAGCGACACAATTTCGAAGCAACGTCGAGAATGCACCACGAGCGAGATGCGATAATGCCGTCGCCGGTGAATGGCACTTTCCCGGTTCCGAAAAACGCTTCGCAGAACGGCGTCAATTTGCGCGTGTAATGGATTTATAACATAACATAACCGGCCGGCTTCTGCGAAAGCGGCTATTATTCCGGGGCGCGCGCGGGCGCACACGACGAGGCGGCGCGCGGCGAGAGCTCGACGCCTCAGAAGTTGCAGATGAATGAATCGCCGCTGGTATGGAAATGTAACACGCGGCTTCGCGTAATGCAGGCCGAACGAGGGCTATCAAACCCGCGTATTTTCATCAGCCGGCGATATATACCGGGTTGTGCTATAAACGCGCCGGCGCGGCGCGCCGCCGGCCGGTTAACAAGAGCAATATTTTAGGGTGTGACCCAAATAATTACTGGATGCCCGTGTTCTCGTTCTGGTAAACATTTGGTACCCGTCGTAAATCTACCGGGCAACTAGACTGGCTGCTCTTTACGTGGCTGCTGCATCGCCGACCGCTTCGGGGCTGCGCGGCGAGAATACGACGACGCGCGCCATACGCCGCGAATGTGCTCCGGGACTTTTGTTGCTTCATTTACTCCACGTGTGTGTGTGTGTGTGTGCCGCGTGAGTTTACTTCGTCGTCGTGCGATGACGTCAATGAGGAAGAAGAAGCTTTCGATCTCGCTCGTGCTTGGCCGAGAAGCACGGGTCGCGAGATAGGGCGGGAATAATTTATCGCAAAGGACAGAGTTTTCCCTTTCCGCGCGCGCGCGCACGCGAAATACCGTCCGGACGTTCTCGCGACGCATCCTCCCCCCCCCCTCACCCTTTGGACTCACCGCGACGACAGAGAGAAACTAATGAACTCGATTTTGCTCAAGAAGCGAAATAATCACTCAATGTGGGCGCAATTTGTCCCAAAGATATAATTGCTAATTAATCGTGATGAAAGAAGAAATTGCCTAATAAGTCAAATAATTACGCGACAATGACTTTGTAGGTAACAATTCCGATTCAATTCTTAACTCAATTTCGATAACAACAATCGACTCACGCGCTCTCTCCGTGGCAGCTGATTGAATCATTAAACGGTCAATTGATCGTCTCGAAGGCGAGTCGCTTCGTCTCGCTCCGGAAGCGCGCAAAAACGCTCGGCTGTTGTTAAAAGCGATTAACTCGATTCGTCGCGAAGCAATGGAGCGCGCTTTCGAAGTGTCCTAGACACCGATCTCGCGTTTCTCGAAAACGTCAAGCGACAATTAACTCGTGCGTGCGTGGCCATGTCGATCGGTCCCACGCACGCTCGCGATGAAATGCGTCTTCGAGGCCGCGAAGGCCAGCGTGGAAGGCGATCACGTTCGATTCACGGCCGTTGCGCGATCGCAACGTCCGCACGGCGAAGGGAGGAGGGTCGGCTCTCCGAAATCGCAGCGAGCGCAATTTTTCGCCAAGAAGCAGAGCAAGAGAGAAAGACGCGCGTATAAACGGCGCATAATAAACAAGCGGATCAACACTTACGTGGCATGATGCCTTGCGCAACCAGCTGATTGATGGGTCGCCTCAGCATGAGCTTCACCTTCAGCGCTGCAACAGAAAAAGGGTGCCGCCGGTCATAAAGTGCGCCTCCTTAGTTACAGGGAAGAAATTAGGGGCCAATTCGAGAGGAGAGGAGGGGAGAGGGAGAGAAAGAACGGCTGCTTCGTGGAACTTTTATTCGAGCGAGTGCGTTGCACTCCCCTCGAGCTGAACGAGAGGGAGTCGCGAGGAGGCGGAGGGCGCCGCTGCCGCCGACATCGCCGCTCGTGAAAACCTCCCGTCTCTCGACGGCATCGCTCCAATTTCTGCGGGATTTCCGCAGAAGAGTCGCGACAGCCGCGAAATCTCAGGCCGCGGCGAGGAGAGCGCGCGATGTTTCTATAAAAATCACGGAGATCAAAGTCGATCGTTTCGCCCGAAGCGCGCGGGCTTCTTTCCTGTTGCTGTTATTTCCCTCGCCGCATACCGCCGCGCGCGCCCCTTTCTGCTCCTTTTAGAGGCCGGTAGTTGTATTTTAGAGGCGACCACGCCGGCGGTCGCCTCGCTTGTGAATTTTTATAACGGGACTGTGGGTCCAAGTGGAGCGCGACGGGGAGACAATTCCAAACGAGCGTCTCAGGACGCTCTCGTTATCTAGACAAGAGTTCGTCAACACATTTTTTTTTCTTTTTTTTAATAGGAATAATTAAGACACATGACAGTGTCTGATATGATACTGCGAACACACCGCGTATATATGTGTGAATATTTCGAAATGTCTTCCTTCGCATCAGCGATGGCACTGCTAATCTCGATCTCGATAGATTTCTTTTGATCACAAAGTATAACTACGAGACCGCTACCTCCCAGACTCTGTGTGTATTCTCACTCATCAGCGTACTTCGTCTCCCTGCGAATCGGAAATGGCGAGGACCGCGCACCGGGCGACGAGGACGCGTCGAGGAGCAAAGGTCGGCGGAACGAGCGGAGGCCTCCCCGTGCGCGCGGGACTCGGGCTACCCGGGCATACAAATTAACACACAAAGGGCGGGCGGTTATAAATACGCATACGACGCGGGCCAGATTGCATAAATTGCCCGCGAAAGAGGAAGAACAATCTGAATTCAAAGCAGCCAATGCCCCGACGAAACGCCTGGCGCACTGCCTTCGACGCATAATGGTTCATCCGCGGCGGGACTCGCCGCTTTAGTGCCGCTGGACTCGCTCTCGTAACCGGGCTCAGCTCCCCCGAATCCTCGTCAACAAATGCTAAATCACCGGTCCGCCCGACTCCCCTTCCCGCCGGGCGCGGCCCGCGATCTCCGATCGTTTCGCCAAATTGTTACGCTAACATCGCGCCGCGGGACTTCCGAAGCACCGTGTATAGCAACACCGCCGCGCGGTTGTTAACCCTCGGTGTATCATCAGGCTTCATCATCGGAATGGAGGAACGTAATTTGAATTACTTCTCGAGTTTCCTCTTTGAGCTTGCAGCTTTCGCCCCTTTCTTTCCGCGCTGATGAAAGAAAAAAAATCGATCTGTCGCTTTTCGGGAAACTAAAATGAAACTCATTTCAGCGCTTGCGCGACTCCTTCAGTGAGACAGAGAGAGAGAGAGAGAGAGATCCGATTTCCCTTTGTGAGAATTTTGTTCTTGAGCGGTTTCCGTTATTTTTAAGGATTGATATGTGTTTTATTGTAACTTCGATTCTTCTTCAGAGATTTCTTTTCGAAAGAAGAAAGGAAAAATTATTTATTCCTGTCAAAATTTGAATAAAAGCGCATGCGCCATCTCGCGTAGTATAATGTAGGGTCAATTATCGCCGATGACGAAGTCGCCGGATCGATCGCATTGTCGCGTATCACTTCCGCCACGAGCGATGCGGCTTATTCGTCGGGCGTTCTTAATCAAATCACATCGTCTCGGATCTGCGATCGCGGCTCGGGATCGAAGGCGCGTGCTCGGGCAACTTTGACACAGAATCATCGTCCATGACGCCGCGAATGAGGCTCATCCGGGAGGACGACCCGGGTCGCGGGTCTACACCTCGTGTTCCTTATGTAAACACGCGTTCTATACCGAGCGAGACGAAATTAATGCGGAGTTTGGTCCTACGCGTGTCTCGCGCAATGAAGCATCCGTCTCGACGCTCGTTGCAGCAATTCCTTTTATTTTCCACTAATTTATGTCGAGCGCCTCGCTCCGTCTCGTTCTCGTTTCCTCCCTCGCCGCTCGCTCTCGGACTTTGTCAGGGTGAAAACAGTGAAATTTCTCAAAGTCGCAGAATTTTGGCGAAACATAAAATAATGTCTTACGACGATTAGATATTATTCATTCAAGATTGATCAATTTTGCTTATTAATTCGCCCATCATTTTAGTCCACAGAGATTTTAGTTCGACGTCTTTCGGTTGCGAAGGAAGTGGGGGAATTTCTGGTTCTCGCGATCAAATTCGGTTCATACGCCCGGTCAAGTCCGGTCCTTTCGGTGAAGACGCATTTGGTTCGTGCATCGTCGCATTAATTCAAGCAGTCTTCTTTTCTTCGTGCGCATACATTCTACTAGGGAAGATACTATAGGTCGCGCGCGCGCTGTACTAATGTACCTCCGGGCACGATTTCCCAAGATCGATAACGGGGATACCGATCGGGAATGCTCGTTAGAAGATAAGACGGACATAATCGCGATTAAAACGCATCTCTACGACGACGCGGTGTAACGTTTGCCTTGCACCTTGTATCCGCGCTGATAATAACTCGCGGCTCGTGCGTGACTCCAAATCGCCGTGCTCCGATTATCGCTCGGCTCTCGTAATCGCCACATAATTCGCGCTAATTAGCGATTTCGTTCGGTCAAGTTACGTTAAGTCGCTCGTAGCGACCGCGAGACCGTCCAACCGGCGCGATGGGAAGAACAGATTCCGCCTAAGGGAGCTAAGAGAGCAGCTACGTTCCGAACAAATTCTGCAAATTCGCCGGAAGTGGCATTTTTCGACGAGATCGGAATTCCTCGCTCGTTTCCTGCACGAAACGTATGAAAATCGCGGCTACGGGACTACTTAACCGGAAAAATCGCCGCGCCCTCGCGTCGCGGTTGGCTCCGCTCTGGATTTCCAACTTTGCACTCAAACGACGGTCGATGATGAAGTTTCGGGTAGACCGCAGCGCGCTACCCGCCGAGCGAAACGGAGCGGAGCCCGAAGCGAGGCGAATTCAGAGTGGAACGGAGCGCATTAGGAAGCACGAGGGGGGAGGATAAGATGGATGCTAACGACCGGGGAGCTAGCGGCGCTAGCTACCGGGAGATACGCCGGAGCAAACGTCGCATCGAGAGATGCGGCTGGCCGGTCGGCCGACCGGTCGCCGCTCGCTCTCGCTCTCTTCCTCCCCCGAGTGCGCGCACGTGCATAGTTGTCCCGTGTAAAGCCGCCGGTACGGCTGATTACGACTCCGTGGCTCGTGGCCGATCGCGCTTACGGGAATTCCCACCGTGTCTCGCATTTCTGGGAGCTTCCGCCGATGTTTCGCCCCGGGAAGCCGTGCCTCGGCTAATTTCTTAAGCCCGCAGGCTCGCGCAGTCCAGTTACGCGCGCGCGAAATTCAGCTTCGACACGCGCTAATCGATAACGATTAGCTGCACCGTCGATTCAATCCGACGAACAAGTCCGGAGCAAGTCGCTGTGATGCGAGACATTCGAGAAACTGTGGACGCTGTGAAAAATATCCGAGGACTAAATCTGCGGCTGCGACGGTGCGTTCGATACTCTTTCCTCTGTTGAGAGAGTATTTCCGCGTATTTCGTAAAACGCGCTCTGAATCTCCTCGAGTGGGATTCCACTCGCAAGATAGAGCGACAGGCAAACCGCATTTTCAAGATTCTTTTCAATTGAAATTACCAATTGAAAAATTCAATTTACCAAATTTCCCCCCGAGGAAACATTTGATTTAGGAAAGAATTTGAAGAAACACATGAGAGGAAGAAGTCTGTCGACACGAGTCTGCCGATACGATGGTGCGTCTCTGGATGGATCTCGCGCGGTCTCTCGCGACGCCGACTGGACTCTTTACGCCTCTTTATTTTCGAGATTACGATGTACCCGCCGACCGAAGACAAACGCGTTTCAACGCGTGCTTCCGCGCGCTCTCGCCCGCGCAAAAATACACGTAGTACGATGAACGCGTCGAAATATCGCCGAGGTTGCTAGCCCCGCGCGATCTATCATATACCGGCATGCCTAAATGTTTACACAGTCAACACAGTAAATTTCGCGGCAGACACCCTTTACGATTGCAATAAAACTCACGACGTCGGATATTGTATCAATATTAAGCCGCTACTTCGCCCGCGCGCGTCGTCCGCGCCGATTTAAAGCTGACTTTCAATTCGCGGACCTACTTACGCGCTCGCGCACTCACGCACACACGCACGCGGATATCGCGAGGCGTACTTCAGGCTAAATTCATTACCGTGCTCCCACGCGTTAGCGTTAGCGAGGCAATGTTAATTGCAAAGTTTCCGGATGCCGGGAGATATGGGAACCACGCGCCGCGAGCAAGTATTCGCGCCATCCATAGAATGCAGATTCGCGCGGTGCATTCCTGAGAGGCGATTATGCCCGCGCGTACAGCCTTTGCCACTTTGATTCTCGCTCCGGCCGTTTCTCTCGGCCCCTCTCGCCGCGCGACGTGTGTGCATCGCGTTTATGAACTCTCGTTAATTTAACGAGCGGATAATAAACCGTCCCCGTAAGAATAATTGGATAATATTTTGTAATTGCGCGAGAGAGACGCGCGCGCGCGCGCACAGAGGGCGTCGGCGGCGGCGGCGGGCGTGGTGTTGGCGTTTTGTTGGCACGCTGCTCTCAAGATACAATCGGCGCGGGTCGCTTCTTCAAACAATTATACACCCCCCAGCGCGTGGCGCTCGATCTGAAGCATCGAGCGTTTCTCTTGGTCCTACCTTCAGCCTTAACGAATTTGCATCTTAGTTACCTCCACTTTCGTACTCTTCTAAACCGCTTGCCGCGCGACTGATCGAGGAATTAACTCTTTGCGGACGAATTGTTGCT